AATTATATAATTGTATAATATGTTATTACTAAAGGTATATGCACTTAGGATTATAAGGCTTTGGTATAAATGTACTTCTTGTGTTATTTGATGAGAACTGGTTATAATTCTATTTATTAATTTGATCATTATTTTAATGTGTTCCATCTTAGCAGGGGTTTATGTCAAGAAGTGTTCTAGTATATGCAACATAGACTCATGTTTCGGGATGCTATATTCCGATATATAATTTATTTGAACATGTCTTTTGCATCTGTGCTTGAACTGATCTATGTGAAAATTACTCGTAACACTCATTTGTACATTGCGAGTCACCCATGACTGTACTGAAGTTATGTTGTGTGCTTGATCATGCGGTAACCTGAACCCAAATAAAGGAACGAAATGGTAGCTTTATGTTTTGAATCTCTTGACAATAAATATTTGTACATATGTGATTTGTTACTATAAGTTATGATGTCCATGTGAACTGTTTTCCCACACTATTTCTGCAACATCTTCTATGAATAGTTATTAACCACCAATCTTATTCCTAGTCTACCTATCCTATTGAAATCAACCATATCCCTGGACAGGCTATCCAGCATGTCTGATTGGTCTACCTACTTTATTTCAAAACTGTGGTCTATCCACTTTATTTCAAAACTGTGGTCCACCTACTTTATTTCAAAACTGTGGTCTATCCACTTTATTTCAAAACTGTGGTCTATCCACTTTATTTCAAAACTGTGGTCCACCTACTTTATTTCAAAACTGTGGTCTATCCACTTTATTTCAAAACTGTGGTCCACCTACTTTATTTCAAAACTGTGGTCTATCCACTTTATTTCAAACTGGTCTATCCACTTTAATTCAAAACTGTAGTCTATCCACTTTATTTCAAACTGTGGTCTATCCACTTTATTTCAAAACTGTAGTCTATCCACTTTATTTCAAACTGTGGTCTATCTACTTTATTTCAAAACCGTGGACTACCCACTTTATTTCAAAACCGTGGTCTATCAACTTTATTTCAAAACTGTGGTCTATTCACTTTATTTCAAAACTATAGTCTATCCACTTTATTTCAAACTGTGGTCTGTCTACTTTATTTCAAAACCGTGGACTACCCACTTTATTTCAAAACTGTGGTCTATCAACTTTATTTCAAAACTGGTCTATCCACTTTATTTCAAAACTGTGGTCTATCCACTTTATTTCAAACTGTAGTCTATCCACTTTATTTCAAACTGTAGTCTATCTACTTTATTTCAAAATCGTGGACTACCCACTTTATTTCAAAACCGTGGACTACCCACTTTATTTCAAAACTGTGGTCTATCAACTTCATTTCAAAACTGTGGTATATCCACTTTATTTCAAAACTGTGGTCTATCCACTTTATTTCAAAACTGTAGTCTATCCACTTTATTTCAAACTGTGGTCTATCTACTTTATTTCAAAACCGTGGACTACCCACTTTATTTAAAAACTGTGGTCTATCAACTTTATTTAAAAACTGTGGTCTATCCACTTTATTTCAAACTGTGGTCTGTCTACTTTATTTCAAAACCGTGGACTACCCACTTTATTTCAAAACTGTGGTCTATCAACTTTATTTCAAAACTGGTCTATCCACTTTATTTCAAACTGTAGTCTATCCACTTTATTTCAAACTGTAGTCTATCTACTTTATTTCAAAATCGTGGACTACCCACTTTATTTCAAAACCGTGGACTACCCACTTTATTTCAAAACTGTGGTCTATCAACTTCATTTCAAAACTATGGTCTATCCACTTTATTTCAAAACTGTGGTCTATCCACTTTATTTCAAAACTGTAGTCTATCCACTTTATTTCAAACTGTGGTCTATCTACTTTATTTCAAAACCGTGGACTACCCACTTTATTTCAAAACTGTGGTCTATCAACTTTATTTCAAAACTGTGGTCTATCCAATTTATTTCAAAACTGTGGTCTATCCACTTTATTTCAAAACTGTAGTCTATCCACTTTATTTCAAACTGTGGTCTATCTACTTTATTTCAAAACCGTGGACTACCCACTTTATTTCAAAACTGTGGTCTATCCACTTTATGTCAAAACTGTGGTTTATCCACTTTATTTCAAAACTGTAGTCTA